ACACACACACACACACACACACACACACACACACACACACACACACACACACACACACACACACACTTCAGGTGTTTTGTTTATTACCTCTCCATCATCCAGGGACACCAGGCGGAGCAGGTTTATGTTGTTTCAGGTGAATTACCTCTGGAGCCTCCATGTTATTAAATATTATATGAATTATGTATAAACTGTAAATGAATTGATGCTTTAGTGACACGCGTCGATAACAGCGTCACTTTGTAAAACCTCTGATGAGAGTCCGACCCAACACAGTCAGGAGGAACCAGTTCTGATTTAGTCTGTCAGTAAAATAACCAGTGTCAGAAGAAAAGATGGGCTGAGGTTTTCCAGTCTGCAGAAAACTGTGTAAAAAAATTTAAAGAATTTTGATAATAAAATACGGGTTTGTGAGATTATTTATTAACATTTTACACAACGTTCTGACTTTATGGAATTTATTCAGCTGTTTTCGTTTTCTCTCCGGTCCTTCAGATCGTGACCGCCGCTCCTCAGAAGTTTAAGATCGAGATCCTGCCGGTGGACGACGGCACGCCTCGAATCGTCACCAACCTGGGGCTGCAGTGGCTGGAGTACACGGACAACAAGGTGCTTCCTGGTTCAAACCAGAACAAAAGGCTGAAAGCTGCTGAAGTAAAGCTGAAAACGTTAAATAGCAAAACTGTTGAAGTGAGTTAGATTTGAACAGAGAATTGAATTGTTGAAAGCAGGAAAACAAAAATTGAAAAATTTGTAGAAAAAAAATCAAAGATGTCTCAAAACAGCCGAACAGAGGGAAAATGTGGATAAAATTAGCAGAAAATAGTCAATATTAGCAAAAATGTAGCTTAAAAATGCAGAAAAAAGTTAAAACTAACAAAAAAAAGTGCAAGAAACAAAAATAAGTGAATTTACAAACAAAATATAAAAAAATAAGCTGAAATTTAGTTGAAAGAAGGTAAAACAAGCAGAAAGAGCGCATATTGCTGAATTAAGCAGTAAAATTACAAAAAAAGTGAATTTGGCTGAAAAAAGCTAAAAAATAGCAGAAGATAGCTAAAATGTAGCTTAAAAGCTAATTTGCTTTAAAAAAGGTAAAAATGAGCAGAATATATCTAAAAAGATGTAGTTAGCTAAGAACGGCTAAATAATTAGCAGAAGATAGCTAAAATGTAGCTTAAAAAGCTAATTAGCTAAAAAAGGTAAAATGAGCAGAAGATAGCTAAAAATAGTTTTAAAAGATGTAGTTAGCTAAAGACGGCTAAATAATTAGCAGAAGATCGCTAAAATGTAGCTTAAAAGCTAATTAGCTAAAAAATGTTTAAAATGAGCAGAAGATATCCAAAAAGTAGCTTGCAAAGCTGTAATTAACTTAAAAAAAAGCTAAAATAAATTAGCAGAAGTTAGCTAAAACATGGTTTCAAAAGCTGTAATTAGAAAGAAACTGAAAAGAAGGTTTGCTGAATTCAGCAGAAAAGGACTGAAAAGACCATCAAAATGTAAATTTAGCTGAATGATGCTCAGTTTAGCTATAAACAGCTAAAGAAAATCTGGGGAAAAAAGGAGCATAAAAAGTTTAAATCAACAGTAAGGAGTAAAAAAGAAGCGCATTAAAGTAGAAAGAAGTTGAAAACTAGCTGAAAAATGCTGAAAACAGTTAAAATGAGCAAAAATAAGCTGAAGAAAGGTGAAATTAGCGCCATGCTAATAGGTAAAAGCTACATTTAAGATTTATGAACTTCATTCATTTTCAATGAGAAAAAACGACTAAATGTCTCAATAAGTTTAAATTGCTAAAACACCACAAGCCAAAGCCTGAATGTGCTGAAGGAGCTGAATATTTTGGTGTAAAAAGTGCTGAAAAAGCACAAATGTTGCAGAACGAGATGCTGAAAAACCTACAGAGTAAAAACGACCTCAAAGGTTTGAATTCTTCAATAAAGATTAAAGTTTAGTAAAATATCTCATCATTAAACAGCAACACAAAGACTTTTTAGTCTTTTAGCTGAGGTTTTTTATATTGTTTACCGACCCTTTGAGTCGATGAACTCGTCTTTATTTGTGCGGCTGTAAAAATGTCATTTTGTGAAATGATTCAGCGTTTGTTGTTGTTTGGATGTTTGGTAATTAGGTCCTCTGGGTTTTATCGTTGGAGTAAATCATCACGTTAAATCGTCTCAGCCCCTCATGGTGGAGGCTTTTTAACAGACTGTTGTTTTCACTCAACATGCTTCACTCTCTCAGTACTTTTACAGTAAACAGACTCAAACCACAGATGAAGCAGCTTAAATCAGCTCATAATCTGCAGCAACTTTAAAATAATCAAAACTGATTTAATGATAATAGTTTGCTGCGATGTTTTTATTAAAAACGGCACATTTGTTGCATTCAGTTCATATTGTCTGATAATAAGAAAAAAAAGAATAAATAAGAAGATTTTTGATCTAATTTTGACTCGGCAGGTTTTTCTTCTACGTTTGCCTCAGAGACGTTTATTTATGTAACTCCTGGCATCTTTTAAAAAAAGAAAAAAAATGAACTTAATGTTTTATGTTTATGTTTTCCAGGCCACTAATTTGATCAGCAGGAAGGAGCTGCTGACGGTGGACCCGGACACAGACGACGGGCAGCTGGTGTACGAGGTCACGGCCGAGCCGAAGCACGGCTTCCTGGAGAGCAAGCTGAAACCGGGCGGCTCCGTCAGCACCTTCACACAAGGTGACCCGACCCAAAATCAGATTTTTATTTGCATTTAATGTTGTGCAACATGATCTGAGCAGATTCAGCTTCCTGCTGCAGCGCTGCCCCCTGCTGGTCACTTCTGTTTCTGAGCCTCGTCATATTTAAATCAGAACCATAAATGTTTAAAACGTGCGTCCTGTGATGAGTTAACGGACCGTTTCTACCCTCGTGGTCCGACTCTTCATCTCTGAAAGCTTCTCCAGGTGTTTTCTTTTCACAGCTCTCCCTTGTTTATCGAGTTAATTAGCTCGTTCAATCAGCGGTGTTCTCATTACGAGCGGCTGATGTTCTGTTTACCTCCGGGCCGCAGACCGAGGATCTGCGTTCGCTCGCTTCTGTAAAAACGTCGATCCTTCCGGCTGAAGCGTCAACATTTGTTGTTTTAATGTGTTGAATGTTTGGTTCGGGGCACTGAAACCTAATTTTCCTAATGTAAAGTAAATAAACTCAGCCTGGGAAAGGAAATGTAAATAAATAGAGCGGATGTGATCAGACTACAAACAACATTTTAAACATGTTTACGTCATGATTTGGCTCCTGAAGGTCATTTTCTCCCAGCTTTTTTTTTTGTTTGTTTTTTCAACCTTCTTGTTCTGAGAGTAAAATTCAAATGAGGAGAAAAGATGAGACAATTTTGATTCAAGAAATGAAAAAAACATTCAGGAGCTGCAAAATCATAAAATCATTAATCAAGGTTTTTGTTATCTGGAATAGTTTTTCTGCTCAGAGTGAAGCAGAAATGAAAAATACCTGTGATTTTTCATCAACGTTTGTCTGTTTGAAACATTATAAAGGCAGTGTAACAAGCTTTCTGTTTCCTAAAATCTGTATTAAACTAGTGCTGGATTAAAATGTTTAACTGTGATTATTATCAAGATAATTTTGTGATTAATCGCAATTAATCAACAATTTTTTATATAAATAATTACTGTGGCTGACTGTAAACTTTGTGTCTGTTTGAAACATTATGAAAGATATTTTAAAAACCTTTCTGTTTCCTAAAATCAATATGAAACTAGTGTTAGATTAAAGTTTTTAACCATGATTAATATCAGGAAACTTTTGTGATTAATCGCGATTAATTGCCCCAAAATATTTTTCAGAAACAATTATTGCAGCTGAATATGAACGTTTTTATGTTGCAACATGCTCCACATGTGACACTTCTTATCATTTTTGTTTTGTTTTTATCGTCCTGTTTCTTCTTATTTCTTAATTTTATTATTTTTGTTTTCATTTTTCAACTGGGACCACCGTATATTTTTATTGTCGTTCCTCATGAACTCATTTGGAACGAAGATAATTCTTTATTCATCTCTTTATTACGCACAAAATTAAATTGACTTAAAGATGTTTAGAGCATTTTCCGGTACTGTTTTATATTTTAAAAAAATCAAAAACTTTGAACAAATATGGCAAACTGTTTTAATTTATTGTCGAAATTCTAGTGATAATAACACATTAACACGTCCAATACTTTATAAAACATAAATAAAAAAATTAAAGAGAAATTTAATTGTCTTTCCTTGCAGCTGATATCAATCTGGGTCTGATCCGCTACGTTCTGCATCCGGAGAGCGTCCAGGAAACCATGGATACCTTCAAGTTTCTGGTCAAAGACAGCAAACCCAACGTGGTCAATGACAACGTCTTCCACATCCAGTGGTCCCTCATCAGCTTCGAGCACCAGAGGTTTGTAACTTTTACGTGTTTTCCACTAAAGATAATTTAAATTTCAATAAAAGAACCTCCTCCAATGACCCCTCAGCTACAACGTGAGCGAGAAGGCCGGTACGGTCGCCGTGACGGTGAAACGAACCGGGAACCTCAACCAGTACGCCATCGTGCTCTGCCGCACCGAAGAGGGCAGCGCCAAGTCCACCAGCAGCACCGGGTCCAGTCCAGGCCAGCAGGACTACGTGGAATACGCCGGACAGGTGAGACGAGTTTAAATTTAAAAAATAAATTAAATATTAAAAAAAAAAAACGGTACACCTTCTGAACCGCTCCATCTTCTCCAGGTGCAGTTTGACGAGCGCGAGGACACCAAGGTGTGCACCGTGGTGGTGAACGACGACAAGGTGTTCGAGGGGGCGGAGAGTTTCCACGTGGAGCTGAGCATGCCCGTCTACGCCCTGCTGGGCGCCAACACGCGCGCCGCCGTCAACATCAACGACACGGAGGACGAGCCCACGCTGCAGTTCCACAAGAAGACCTACCATGTCAACGAAAGCCTCGGCTTCTTCCACGCCCCCATCGAGAGGAAAGGTACCAGAACCCGGGTCTCCGGTTTCAGCCATCAGTTTGGTTTTTCAGTTTCTACACACCGCCCGGGGGCCAGAAGTGGTCCTCGGACGATCTCAACTGGCCCTCGATGCCCCTAAATAACAACAGAACCAACTTGATGCTCTCGTTCCAGGCGACGCCTCCAGCACCGTGTCCGCCCTCTGCCGCACCGTGGCCAGGTCGGCTCGCGGGAGCAGCCTCCACGCTCTGGAGTCCGGCTCGGACTACAAGAGCCGCGGCCTGACCAGCGACAACCGCGTGGTCTTCGGCCCCGGCGTCAGCATGTCCACCTGCGACGTGAGGCTCATCGACGACAGCGAGTATGAGCTGTCCGAGGAGTTCGAGCTGGTGCTGTCAGACCCCTCGGACAACGCCCGTCTGGGAGACGTGGGCGTGGCCAAGGTGGTCATCGACGGACCAAACGACGCGTCGACCGTGACGCTCGGAAACGCCACCTTTACCTTCAGTGAAGACGCTGGTAGGATCCATCGTGCAGGAAGGGGTTCTGTACCCGTTTGACTTTTTATTAATGTTTTCATGGTTTGTCTTCAACACAACCAGCTTTTCTTCCATTTTAGCTAGACTTTAAAAAGTAGAGAAATCCTAGCTAAAAGCTAAAAGTATCACTAAAAGCTAAAAGTATTAAAAGGAAATTGAAAAAGTAAGAGTATCATTCAGTTAACTAAAAGTAGCTCAACAGCTTCTGAAAGCTTAAAAAATTAGCTAAAAATAAAAATGATCAAAGGCATTCAAGGTATCAAACGCTAAATAAAAGCTTAAAATGAAAGATCAGCTAAAAGTATCAATTCTAGATAGAAGTTAAAAGTAAGGAAACGTTAGCTAAGAGCTTAGAACAGCAAAAGGTAGTTAAAAGTGACGAAACATACTTTAAAGGCAGAAAATTTGTAAAGGGTATCTAAAAGTAGCAAAACTTTAGCTAAAAGCTAATAATATAAATAAACTTAAATCTTAAAATCTTAACATATCCAAGGTTAGCTAGAAGTATCTTAAGGCTAGCTAAAAGCTGCTTAATGTATGAAAAAATTGTCTATTATCTTTAGGTAGCAAAGGCTAGCTAAATGTATGTAAAAACCAGCTAAAAGCTAAAAGTAACTAAAGACCAGCTAAATGGTAAAAGTATCTAAAGACCAGCTAAAAGCTAAAAGTAACTAAAGACCAGCTAAAAGGTAAAAGTATTTAAAGACCAGCTAAAAGCTAAAAGTATCTAAAGACCAGCTAAAAGCTAAAAGTAACTAAAGACCAGCTAAAAGGTAAAAGTATCTAAAGACCAGCAAAAAGCTAAAAGTAACTAAAGACCAGCTAAAAGTAACCAAAGACCAGCTAAAAGCTAAAAGTATTTAAAGACCAGCGAAAACCTAAAAGTATTTAAAGACTATAAAAGTATCTGAAGACCAGCTCATAGCTAAACCAATCTAAAGACCAACTCAAAGCTAAAAGTAACTAAATGCCAGCTAAAAGGTAAAAGTATTTAAAGACCAGCGAAAAGCTAAAACTATCTAAAGACCAGCTAAAAGCTAAAAGAATCTCAAGACCAGTTAAAAGCCAAAAGTAAATAAAGACCAGCTAAAAGATAAAATAATCTAAAGACCAGCTAAAAGCTAAAAGCAACTAAAGACCAGCTAAAAGCTAAAAGTAACTAAAGACCAGCTAAAAGCTAAAAG